AAATCTTCTTCTTCTCTAGCTTCCTTAATCTTCTTCAAAATTCCCAGCAAGAATCTAAGGAATTGAACTCTCTTTCACTCACGGTTCTCTCTCTCTCTCACGGTTCTGTCAACAATATGAAGCACAAGAATGCTCTCACCAAATAATAAATAGATTTTCCTATTCTCTCTCCTCATGCACACATATAAAACTTGAAGGTTATCAACACTTACACACACATGTTCACTTCTTAACATTGCACAAGCACGCGTGCACACACTTTAAGCTTCTAGCACAACAATAATACACACACTCTCAGACTTCTCTGCACACACACACACATACTTCTCAGCACATACACCCACATATATTCTCAAAATCTAAATCATTCTACAATTTAATTTATGGTTAAGATTAATTTAATTAAATAATACTTATTTTTAATAAATCTTGATTAACACATAATTAAATTAATTACTACTAATCATAAATTTCACATGATTTAATTTATCTAATTTGACTTCCTTTAGAGCCCAATTAATTATATTTAAAATTATCAATCTGAATCAGATTTTTTTTAATCAAACCCCCCAAAACTCCAAATATTAAATTAAACTTATTGTCATCATTAATTTCGATTTCCCAAACTATTTTGGCCTTCAATTTCTAATCAGACTCCAAATTTCCGTCAATAAATTACATATTCAAATTAGATACCCCATAAATAAATTTAATTCGTAGTAATCACAATTCTCAATCCTCATAATTTAACTAACTTAATTAACTCCAATTCGGACTTAATTAATTGAATCTCAATTTTACTAAACTGAATCGAATATTTAATTAGCTCCCAAATGGGTTCGTAATTAAAATTAAATTGATTCAACTTCTTAGTTTCGCTTCCTTAAGCCATTTGGACCCTTAAAATAAATCTTCAATAGAATCATATACGAATTAGATTCCACAATTCTCACAAATCCCAAATTAAATTAAGATAACGACTAATTAAAATCCCAAATCTCCTTAATTAACCAAATATAAAATATTATATGTGACGGGGTCATCATAACTATTCTCATCCATCAAACTACGCAAAATACCAAGTGCCCATGCATAATTATCCTCCCTCTCATACTGGAGGTATGCAAAACCCACAGAGAAAGTCTTTTTAGTGGATGTTACTCCTACAATCTCTAAAAGTGGCAAACGATATCGACCGGTCTTATATGTACAATCCATTAGTAACACACGTGGGAATGCGTACATGCTAATCCATGTGTATGCCGAACAACACAACCACATGTAACAACGTCAATGCCAACAAAATATGCTCGTTTGGACTCTACTAATATCATTTCCAATGCTGCAATAGACACGTTCCCACGAAGATCTTTAAATTGAGTAGGCTTGAAATTATGTTGCACAATTGTCTTGCTCTTCTCAAACAATGATTTGATGTCAGTGTGTTGCAACTCATGCAAATTGTGTATCCTTGACCAATTTGACTGAAAACTCCCTTGACTTGATTCAAGATATCTCTTTAGCTTTGCATGTGAACTCTCTACCCTATATATATAAACCATTACAATGGTAAAACAGGGAAATATACATTTTTTTTTTCTGAAAATAATTGAATTTACCTATTCGTTGTTGAATTCCCCAAGTGCATACATGTATCTGTCCATGCAGCTACAAATCTCTCCTTATATGTATCCAACCAAGAAGATGTGACATATTGAAGTGCCTCTGCATAAAAGGCGAACTCATTTTGTAGCAATACGAGTTGTTGCATGTACACTTCTTCAGAAGATGACAAAACCAACATATTCCAACTTGTTATAAACATATCCCATTTCTCCTTATTCTCAAACAATTTTTTGCATTTGGCCAACACATTTTTATTAATATGTTATCTACATAACAAACTTGCAGCTTGTGGAAATATTGTTGCAATAGCATTTATTAGACTCAATTCTCTGTCTAAAACAATAACATTGGGAAGATTATTCTCATCCATCAAACTAATGCAAAATACCAAGTGCCCATGCATAATTATCCTCCCTCTCACACTGGAGGTATGCAAAACCCACAGAGAAAGTCTTTTCAGTGGATGTTACTCCTACAAACTCTAAAAGTGGCAAACGATATCGATTGGTTTTATATGTACAATCCATTAGTAACACGTGGGAATGCACGCAGCAAATCCAAACTAACTGGATGTGCAAAGAACAAATCGGTAACAGTCTCAGTATCTTTACAGTTCCTATGCCATTTTATGTATTTGTTCACCGCTAACTGACCCAATAGTAGTTGCATTTTCAGATCTCCCAATGTTCGCAAAAACTTTATGCCGTTGACGTGCATTGTAGATTGTTTTCATTGTGGAAACATTTTCACTATTGCGTTGTTTAAGTGTGACTAATATCTTATTTGGTCGTACCATACTTTTCGACATATCAACCAACAAAGAAGTTTCCTCATATAATAACCTTCCTCATATAATAACCTTCCAGCATAAGGATGACCTTCAAGACAAATCGCGACAGGATGATTATGTACACCATATATCACGATCAATGTCCAATCATCGTTTGTATCTAATTTTTTAGCTTTTAACATAAAAGGACAGTCACATTTTTTAGTACCGGTAAGCTTCAATTTTTTTTCCTTAGGTCTAGTGTTTTTCCTAATGTCCCTATAACATCCACTCCTCTCACAAGCAAGAGTTGGTCTTGGTTTCTTACGATGAGTACCACCCGTATCTAATTTCTTCACAACAATAACCTAACCATTTTTCCTCCCAACATCACGTGCCCACCGAATTAATTCATCTCGAGACTTGAATATCTAAAATTGTAAAAATAAAGTAATGATTTTGTTACCAATATACACATAAAGAAATAAATTAATGCACATTAACAATATATAGGTGAAAAATATTCATATACAATTTTCAATACGTTCATATATTACCTCGTGAGTCACAAATTCATTACTATGATCCGCTTTGAATTCTAAGCCAACTTTGCTGCTTTTATTTGACTCGCCATCATCTTAAAATAAATAACAATACAAATTAAATTTCAAAATTTGATCGGTAAAATAAATCCGAACCTATGAATAACGTTTGGTTACATGCTTCCGAACAAATAATAAATGTTTGGTTATCGATTCTCGAACAAATAAACAATGTTCGAGCCTGTGCTCTCGAATTCGGTCAAATATTCAAGAGTTTAGTCTCGAAAAAATGACGAACAGATTTTATAATTTTTGTCATTTTTTTCATGAAACTTACCTTTACAAACCCAATCTCCTCGGAGTTAAGAACAACATCAAAGTTATGAATCTCCTTTGAGCTTTTATTGTCGTACTCCTCTTGTTTTATGGAATTATAGTTATCCCGAAAAATCAAATGGTTGCCACCGTTAACACCGGAATATTGTTGCCAAAGGGTTTTCAAGATTTTGAGAATAGGTAAGTTTTGAAGGTGAGATTTGGGAAAGATGAGCAAATCCAAACTAATTGGATGTGCAAAAAAAAAATCGGTAACAGTCTCAATATCTTTACAATTCTTATACCATTCTATGTATTTGTTCACCGCTAACTGACCCAATAGTAGTTGCATTTTCAGATCTCCTAATCTTCTCAAAAACTTTATGCCGTTGACGTGTGCATTGTAGATTGTTTTCATTGTGGAAACATTTTCACTATTGCGTTGTTTAAGTGTGACTAATATCTTATTTGGTCGTACCATACTTTTCGACATATCAACCAACAAAGAAGTTTCCTCATATAATAACCTTCCTCATATAATAACCTTCCAGCATAAGGATGACCTTCAAGACAAATCGCGACAGGATGATTATGCACACCATATATCACGATCAATGCCCAATTATCGTTTGTATCTAATTTTTTAGCTTTTAACATAAAAGGACAGTCACATTTTTTAGTACCGGTAAGCTTCAATTTTTTTTTCCTTAAGTCTAGTGTTTTTCCTAATGTCCCTATAACATCCACTCCTCTCACAAGCAAGAGTTGATCTTGGTTTCTTACGATGAGTACCACCCGCATTTGATTTCTTCACAACAATAACCAAACCATTTTTCCTCCCAACATCATGTGCCCACTGAATTAATTCATCTCGAGACTTGAATATCTAAAATTGTAAAAATAAAGTAATGATTTTGTTACCAATATATACAAAAAGAAATAAATTAATGCACATTAACAATATATATGTGAAAAATATTCATATATAGTTTTCAATATGTTCATATATTACCTCGTGAGTCACAAATTCATTACTATGATCTGTTATGAATTCTTAGCCAACTTTGCTGCTTTTATTTGACTCGACATCATCTTAAAATAAATAACAATAGAAATTAAATTTCAAAATTTGATCGGTAAAATAAATCCGAACCTATGAATAACGTTTGGTTACATGCTTCCGAACAAATAATAAATGTTTGGTTATCGATTCCCGAACAAATAAACAATGTTCGAGCCTGTGCTCCCGAATTTCGGTCAAAGATTCAGGAGTTTAGTCTCGAAAAAATAACGAACAGATTTTATAATTTTTGTCATTTTTTTCAAGAAACTTACCTTTACAAACCCAATCTCCTCGGAGTTAAGAACAACATCAAAGTTATGAATCTCCTTTGAACTTTTATTGTCGTACTCCTCTTGTTTTATGGAATTATAGTTATCCCGAAAAATCAAATGGTTGCCACCGTTAACACCGGAATATTGTTGCCAAAGGGTTTTCAAGATTTTGAGAATAGGTAAGTTTTGAAGGTGAGATTTGGGAAAGATGAATGAGTGGTGATGGAGGTAGGTGTTCACATAAACCTTAATTCATGATATTGTGAGTGTGTAAATTTAATTATAAGATGGGTGTTTCAAAAGTAATGATGCCAATTTTAATAATTTTATTTAAAATTATTATTATAATAATAAAAAAAATTTAAAAATTGGAAGGTCCAACATCTAATATAGCATACTCATTTATAATTTTACACTACACCGCGCACACGCCGAGTCCCGAGCATCCAAATCTTCAAACTCAAAGCTTAGGAATTGAGGTGCGATTACTGGTGTCATAAATTTGGGCCCTTATCTAGGGTTTGCACGCTACAAAAATCGGCGGCCTCTGTGGTCAATCTTGAAATACAAATACATACACACACACATGCGCGTTCGAATAACACCGACCATGGGAGCTGCAGTAACAGCAAGAAAGCTCCTATTACAGTACCCACTCATCAATCTCGTATCATCATCATCATCATCAGCATCGTCATTATGTAAACCACTATTACTACAATCACCATTTTCACGTCTCCACTCTCTTCTCGGTGCTACCAATTTATCAGCTACTACTGGCAATAATCGCAATAAAAAGAACAAAGTAAAGCAAAAGATGAAGGAAAAAGCAGCAGCAACAGCAGCAGAGGCGGTGGTGAAAAGGCGAACGCGATCGGGAAAAGAGTTTGACGAGAAGACTTTTATGCGTTACGGAGACAGTGCCACCCATATCCCGGTGATGCTGGGGGAAGTCTTGGACGTCTTCGCCTCCGTCCCCCTCTTGTCCTTCGTCGATTGTACCGTTGGCGCCGCCGGACACTCCTCCGCTGTCAGTACTACTGCTACTTCTATTTACTTTCCTTCACTTCATTTTCTATTTACTTTCCTTGTTGATTCACTATTAGTCACTCACTCAGTCCCTCAGTCAATTTATTTGGAGTTGGGTGTCTGCTATGCATGAACCCTATAAGTACCAATTAGTGTAACTGATGTATTAAGAGATGATGTGACGTCATTTTAGAAGTTTTGGGTATTTGTAATTTGTATAATAAATAGGGTGAATAATAATGTCATAATACTAGTTGATATACTAATTTGTACATGTAGCACAGTGATTCTTGATTTCTGCCAAAACCAACCATTCTTTTGTGTGTACAGAATTTGGGTATTTGTGCTCAAACTAAATTGTCGTGGGGGCCATATGATACTTCTCACTAATTTAGGGGCCTGTTTGTATAGGGGTTAAAACGATACCTCTCAATAGTTTAAGGGGTTTTCGTGTAAATAATCCATTATAAATCATTTCAATAAGCACAATCAAATATAAAGAAGTCATTTTTTAAAATGTTATCAAATAGGACAAAAAACAAGAATGGTCTGACAAAAGGAGAAAAACAAGAATATATATATATATATATATATGTAACACTGATAGAAAAAGAGTAGCAACCAAGAACTCGCAAAATAAAAACCCATAGCAATGTTAAAACTGGTGCAAAATTAAACCCGCCCCAACAAGGCAGCAATTGCCAACAACTTCAATACAGAGAAACAAAAAATGAGAGAAAAGAAAGCAAGACTTGTGTAGGTACACTAGTCGTTAGAATTTTTGAGTAAGAGAGGAGTTCAAAGTAATAGAGAAGTCTATGTACAAAGCTAACCTTGAGTATTTTTATTAAGGAGTTGGACTAATTGACTATTTTTTAATATTTTATTAAAAAAAAAAGAAATTAAAAATGGGTCTTTTATATATTGGAGATAGCTCGACATAAATACAGTGTTATTAAAGGCACGCCTAGGCATGTGTCTAGGCCCAAGTCCCATCCAGGCCCAAAATTTGTGCCTTGTAATGTTCCAAGCCAAGTGACTTCGATAAGGTGCGCCTAGGTGTGCGCTTAGGCGTGTGCCTAGGCCCAAGTTCCATCCAGGCCCAAGGTTTGCGCTTTGTAGTGTTCCAAGCCAATCAACTTTGATAAGGTGCGCGATTGGTCCAAGGTGTAGTAAGGCCCAAGGCTTGTGTCTTGAGGGCTTTTTTTTATAAACTATGATTGCAGCACAACTCATTTCCCCTAAGCATGACTCATCTCACGATTTGTATATACAAATAAGCAAAACAGTTGTATGATCATGCATTCTTGATCACAAAAATCAAATACATAAATCGGATGAAAACGTTTCTTGAATAAAAGATCCTTAACAATCACATAGCGATTATCCAAATTCAAAGAAAAACTAAAATCACAATACTTTAATACAAGTTACTTGATTAGGATTTTATCTCAATTCTCAAGAAGAAGATTAGTTGCCCATGAAGAAGGTGAAGAACGCCCTAGGTATGGAGAACTCCATCCTTGGAACCTTGGATTTTCTCTCTTGCCTCTTGTGCCTCTTTTTGATATCTCTCGAATAAGACCCTATTTTAAGAAGGCTAAGTCATCCCTTTATATTCCCATGACTATTAGGGTTGGAATGGGCTGAAAAGTAGTATCAAAATATAGTTTTCATCACAAAGGCCCTTATAACCTGCACAATACACAAACTTATTAAAATCATTAAATAATAATTGATATAGATTTAACTACTGTAGTTTAAGGAACCTCAATGTAGGTATTTTGGCACTTATCACTATGGAAGTCTGTTTGGTATTATTTTGGTTTTTGTACTTTTAAAAACAAAACTGATGAAAATTTTAAAAATGTTCATCATTTCATATGATTTTCATTTAGGGATAGAGGGTTAGTATTTGAGAGGTACAATACAACAACTAGGTAGAAGTGCTAATCAGTTGTTTCAATCGTTGAGGAGAGATGATTTGTGATGAAGGTTTGGGTGGGTGGTGGTGGGATGGGAGAAGGTGAAGGAGGAGTGGTGGGAGAGCATTTGCAATTTTTCAAATTAAATGGAAAAATTTGTATTTTTAATAAACTTTAAGAGTGTAATTTTAATTTTAAACTAAAGTTATTATAAAGTAGATTTTACGTTGAGCCTGTAGAATAAATATCCTAACCAATTTTGCAAGAAAAAAAAAAATGATAATAATGTCTCATAATATACATGTTAAGAGAGCTTGAAAGTATTATATATTTTTTTGTGGTCAACCAAAGAACTTAATTTAAATGTAGATCTACTTTGTTTTTGACGTTCAGACTTTTATGTAATGAACATTTCACTAATCATATAATGTACTTTAGTTTATATTGTAATTAAAACTTCATTATTGAATTAATTCAGTAGTTCCAATGTTCACTTCAATTCATAACTAAGCATAACAGTGTAACCAACAAAAACATGAAAGAAACAAGAAAGCTTACCATCACTCTCTTTTTCGTCATTAACTTTGATCTTGAGAAGTCATAATCATAGTCATCACTATTTACAAGCCTTGGCTTCTCGACAACTTCATTTGCAGGAGTAATAGCTTCTCCGTTTGGCATCCATGTTGTGGTAATTGTATTACACCATGCCCAAAAATTACAGCCTTTATTCTCACGACATACGTAATGTAGTTTTCCATTTGATGTCTTTTCAAAATCTTACCACTTTTATTGTTACCTGTCTCCCACATCCACATATTCTTGTATCGAACCTAAGGTCAAGTGTTTCCCCACCGCCCATGTTGGTTAAAGAAGACACCAAGGTTTGTTCTTCCTTTTTTCCAACTTTTGACAATTCTTTTTATCACACCACTTTTGAGGGAAAAGCTTGTTTCCATGCATCATGAGCACATAAGACACATTTTGTTAGTTTGTGTGAAAAATGTAACATGGTGGCACTTCAGTCAAAACCATATGACAAAAAATTAGCTATTTTTGGAAGACATGTTAGTAATATACCCCTAGACCATACCACTAGGGGTAAAATAGATTTTGTTCATTTATTTATCTATGAATATTGTCCATTTCCTTCACAACCACAAGCAAACCTCTGTATAATTTAAGAAAGATATAGAAAAAGTAGCAAAAATCACCACCATCCCCACAAAAAGGAAGAGATGACTAAAAAAAGGGGGATGAGAATTGCATTGTGCATATCAAACTATGGTATAGTGGATGTATAACTTACAGGCCTAGTCCTTCTCTGGGGTGTACAAGTTTCGCTCCCTCAGAACAATCAATTACTGTCTTGTTAGTAAAAATTATGCTAGGTCTGGATCGACAACAACGAAGCAATAATCTTAAACTAAACAATTAAATAGGAGCAATCAAACAACTGTGTTATTGATTTGAATGCCTCAAAAGAATGAGGACTTTTTTGGATCAACTGATGGTAACAAAGTAAACAAGTAAAACAGACTTTTTTTTTTTATATCAACTAATGGTAACAAAGTAGATTAGACAAACAAAAGTAATTCCAGATTGAAATCACCATAGTTCACCTAATTACAAAGTACAAACTACAAGAAACTACTCGTAAGTTATAGCTTGAACTACTTCTAAGTCTAAAAACTGAGTTGTTGTATTGTTGTTGATGTTCTCCTTTGCAAACCTTCTGGCGTTTATAGTTCTTTCCCACACCCCCATGATTTCATCAATCTGCAATTGTTGCTGTGTAACTGCTGTAACTGCTCTCTCACTTCCAAGCCTTCAAATCACGCCAGACCTTCACTTCTATCTGTCAAACTGTCTTCCTTTCAAGTTGCCATGTGTCTACAAGTCTTTCTAATCTTCCCTCGATAGAGAAAGACTCCCACCTTGTTCATGCTTCCTTTTGGAGGCCACCCACTAAGTCTATGATCTCTATCAGTAATTGTTCTACCATTCAAGTTTACCTACAGGCAATAATCAACTTCTAGTCAATGTCTCTTGCCTTCTGATGCTAACAACACACTCTAAACTTGGCCACGTGTCCTCAATTGACTGGACCACCTGTCGATAGGATCTGGCAAAAATAAGTGCAAACAAGTCCAGAACAATAGCTAGAAATTACTAGCCCATGTTATTCCTATATGTACCCTAAGCTTCCATACAAATCTTAATCAGAGAAATTGGTCTTAGTTAGGTTGTTTATGTTAGCAAAACTATGAACTTATGAAAATTTGGACACTACATAATACTACAACTATACTTCAATTAAGGTTTGAGCAATGAAATTACATAAGTTAGATGGGAAAAACTAGACTAGATACTTCATAGCATCTTCCGCTTTTCATCAAGGATGCATGGGTGTGCTTTCCAAAAGCTCTGCTCAATTATATTACAGTGTTCCATGACAACTCGCTTCCACAATTTCCTGCGAGGACCATTATTGTACGTTATTGCCTCATCTCCCCTGCATACAAAATGAAATTCTCAACTCTATAGAGTTGTAAAGTAGTTAACGGAGATTGCCAAGCTAGGAGGTTCTATTCACTTGGTCCCATTTCAAAGCTTGGTTAGTTTTGGCCAAAAACATTTTCCTTTCTTTGGTTGCAATCTTGAAACTAATGTGTTGTGGTGATGTTGGTGTGGCGGTAATGGCGCTAGTGGGGTGGTGGTACACTGGTCGTTCAGTGGTGGTGTTTTTTGAGATTGTCTGGAAAACATTTTCCACCTTTGAGAAGTAGATAAATAAGCTTGTTTTCCATTGATCATGACCTTGTGGCCTAGTGGCAGGGAGGTAGCACTTTGGTGCTTGCAAAGGCGAGGTAAGGAGTTGAACCCCCCCTATAAGCCAATCTAGCAACTGACTTTTGCCCCGATAGAAAAAAAAAAGTTTTGCTTTGAGTTAAGCTCAGTTCAGCCTTGAACTAACTTTTTGGATTTTGCAAAGCATTTGGATTAGTTTGATGCATAGAAGTTTTGCTTTTTTGCTTTGTACATGAGTGACACCCTTCGTGCCTCTTTTTGAATA